AGACTATAGGGACAGAAAGCAGATCAGTAGTTGTCTGGGAAGGAGAGTGTGGCAGGAAAGGGATGGCGGGGGTGTAGATTACACAGTTCGTGAACAAACGTCTGGGAGAATGATGAGTATATTCATCATGTTGATTGTGGTGGATTTTGCTTATATGCCCCAAATAAAAAATCCCAATTGAATGGAAATTGTGAAACTGAAAGATACAGTAGTCAAAACTAAGACTCACAGGATGTTTGTACACTGCTGGAGGCAGAATTAACAAAGAACTAAAAAAATAAAAGGAGCTAAAAAATAGAGAGATTTCAGTGAGATAGTCAAACATGATATAATTGGTGCCCCAGAAAGGAAAAGAATAGGACAGTATCAAGTTTGAGGAGATAATGTAGAGTTGAAAGCCATTAACCACAAATTCAAGAAGGCCTCCAAACTGAGAAACAACATATTTAAACATATTGTAGTGAAAGTACAGAGGCAAACAGAAGAATTGAAAGAATGCTTAAGGAAAAAGCAGGTGCCTCTAAAGGAGCAACAGTGAGCTGGATGGCCCCTGTCTTAGTAGAGACAGTGTTTGCCAGGAGACCACCAAATGCTACTACCCTCAAATGATAACAGAAATAAGGGCCAGCTTCGAATCCCTGCTTGGTGATAGGATTCTACGTAAGTCAAGACGAAATAAAGACCAAAATAATTGATCACGTCCACATCTCCCCTAAAGAAATACTGGAGGAGATATTATTAAGCAAAATAACCCCCAGCGATCCTGGATGGAATGTCAGAAATGCAGGAGGGAATAAAAGTAATGGCATTGTAGATACATGGGTAGATCGAAATGAACGTTGACTGTATAAAAGTGTTGTGTTTTTTGAGAGTTCAAATATATTTGTTGTGTTAAAATACGTGAAAATACAGGGATAATTATGAGGGGGAAGGAATTGTACTCACAGGGCTCCTGGGTTCTTGCATTATGTGGGAAGGGCCAACATCAAGAATGTGTACTGTTGTCTCTAGAATGCCCCTGTGAGAATTATAAAATAGTAGATTACTCACACACTCATGGTGGCGGGGTGTAGTGGGGAAGAATGCTTAAAAAACAAAAGAACAGGAAGGAGAGAAAATGTAACATTGAACAAGCAGAACACATAGAAAATCATTAGTAAGATGGTAGTTTTTACCCAAATAGGTCAGTAATTAAATAGAAATGGACTAAATGTCAAAGGTTGCCAAATATGAAAAAAGGAAACAAACGAATAACAAACTAAGACCTAAGAATACAGAAAGTTCAATGTAAACACGCGGGGGAAAAACACAGTATGCAAATACTAACCTAAACAAAGCTAGTGCAGATCTTTTTGTATCAGAAAAAAATAGGCTTTTTAAGGCAAAAACAATGGTGAAAGATTCAGCTCTTCAAGAAGACAGAAGAATTCTGTATTTGTGTGTCTTTAATAACATAGCCTCAACATACATAAAGCAAAAATTAACAGAAGTAAATGAAGAAATAGATCTACAATCATTATTGGAACCTTTAGAACAGGAAGACAAAAGTCATTAAGGATATATTGGATTTTAATAGAATTAGCAATCTTGGTCTATATGTAGATCACCCAGTGGCTGAAGAATACACATTTTTTTCCAAGTCCACATAGGGGTTTTTTTTTTAAAGATTTAAAAAATAATTTTTTTTTTTTTTTTTTTTTTTTTTGAGAGACAGAGCGTGAGCCGGGGAGAAGCAGAGGAGAGAGAGAATCCCAAGAAGTCTCTGCCCGGTCAATGCCCAGAGCCCAGCACAGGGCTCAAACCCACGAAACTGTGAGATTACGACCTGAGCTGAAATCAAGAGCCAGACGCTTAACCAACGTAGGGTATTTTTAAATTAGCCGTATGCAAGACACAAAACAAATCTCAACAGATTTCAAAGATCAAAATCATTCAATGTGTGTTCTCCAGCTATAGTTGGGTAAGCTGGAATTAAAAAATGAGATATCTAAAAAAATCTCCATATGTTTTTCAGTTAAGAAATGTATTCATAGGGGCACCTGGGTGGCTCACTCGGTTAAGTGTCTCTTGATTTTGGCTCAGGTCATGATCTCATGGGTCATGAGTTTGAGCCCCGTGTCGGGCTCTATGCTGGCAGTAGAAAGTCTATTTGGGATTCTCTGTCTCTCTGTCTCTCTGGCCCTCCCCAGCTTGTGTGCTCTCTCTACCTCTTACCTCTCTCTCTCAAAAATTAACTTTTTAAAAAGTATTAAAAAAAGAAATGCACTTGTAAATATTTCATGAAGCAAAGAAGGAGTCATGGAAATCAAGAAAACATCCTGAATGGTAATGACATGAAAATCATGCAAATGAAAATATTACATATCCGAACTTGGGCATGCAGCTAAATCTATAATTTTGAAGAAATGCATATATTAGAAAGGAGAAAAAGCTAAAAATCAGTGATGTCCACTATAAAAAGAAAAACTCAAAGAGGAAATGCAACAGATAAGAGCATGAATTAATATAAAACAAACATACAAAAGAGTGTCAACAAAGCTTGAAGTTGGTTCTTTGAAATGTCTGGTAAAATTTGTATGCCCCTGGTGAGACTGAGCATAGAAAAGAGAAGGCACAGTCAAGACCAGGAATGAAGAAGACATTGCTTCAGTCTGACTAACACTGAGAAGGAGTTAAAAGTATATTATGTGTAACTGCATGCCTGTAAATTTGAAAACACGGATGATGTCCTAGAGAAATATAACTTACCAAACTTATATAAGAAGAAACGGAAAATCTGAAAAGTGCTATGAACATAGAAAAATTAAATCGGTAATTAAAAACCCTCTCACATTTGTCATTTACGGTGGCAAGATTGCTGGAGGACCTCCGTGTGTTGGTCTTCCAGGGTCAAGTGCAGGCAGAAAAGAGAATTATTTCGGTTGAGAAGGGTTCTGAAGTTCTGGGCCTGACTCTACTCTGCAGAACTAGGAGTCAGACCTGCCTCTAAAGCAATCATGTGGACAGGTGGCTGCATGCTGAGACAGTTATGTGCACATCCCTGGAATTGGAAGGAGGGACAGCTGTTCCCTGCCACACAAGGGAGGGGGTGGATGCTGCATTGCCACAGCCAACATGTGTTCATCAGAGTGAAGCAGATGGACACAGCCAGATGTGTCCGAGATATTTGCCGAGATAAAGGGAAAGGACAAATGGAATTCACGTGAGGAGTGGAGAATTCTGCTCAGATGAAAACCACAGAGAGAGAGAGAGAGAGAGAGAGAAGCCACCCCCCCACCCCAGGATGACTGGGAGGGGTCATGTCAGCAGGAGGCAGTGTAGGAGCTATAGCCTTCATGCCCCCCATGAAAACATACGCCTGTCCATTAGTGGAAACGGTCTTGGGAGGGCTTAAGTGTCCAGCTAAGAACCTGTGGCAACACAGTGGAGCAAAAATATAGACAACTGCAAAAAAAGGATCCCTGGGGAGATGGGATTACACGAGGCCTCAGGAAATGGCTAGGATCAAAGAAGGTGGGGCTCTGTCAGTGCCATGGCGAGTGCCGTCATGGCCCCCAGTGGCATGCTCTGGGGAGGCCCTCGGAGGAACTCTGCAGCCCCTGCAGCAGCCTGGGGTCCCCACAGCTTTCACAGCAGAAGACCCGTATGCTAGTGGGCAGACCCCAGTGGCCTGCCTCACGAAAGACGTCTTTGCCGTGGGTGTAACCCGATAGCCATTGCTGCCATAGACCCTCTGCAGAAGGAGATTCTGCTGTACCCTCTTCCCAGACCTTCTGGGAAGACCTTCTGCTCTTGTGCCAGCCTTGGACCAGGACTGTCTGCTGCCTCCCCAGCGCTGTGCAGATCCCAGACTGCTGAACCCTGGCTGCTCCGGGTGCACCTGTGCTCTAGACCTCCGCTCCATGACAACGCCACACTTACGCACCTGACCACTGGAGCCACTATCATTGTGGGCTAGCCAGTGCCCCGGAACCTGGGGCCATCATCCCCCTGTGGGTGCCTGCCCTCCAGACTTCTCCATATCTGTGCCGTAGGCACCTGTACTTCAGACACCCGTGCTGCCACTACCCACAAGCTGGACCGTGTGCCAGGAAGAATCACCTTAGCTGTGACATCCCCATGGGAGGAAAACATTAGGAGGTACCCAGAAGCCTTCATGACTGAAGACCCCAACAGCCCTTATAGCCACTGCTGCCACCTGTAGTTGAGGACCTCTGCCATCTTTGCTGATGCTGATGTTGGCTCAGAGACCTGCACGGAGACTCCACTACTGGGCCTGTCCTAGAACCACTACAGCCTACCCAGCTGAGGTCCTGCACCCATTCGCAGATGGTCTTTACCCACCAAAACCCATCTGTAAAGGCTGCAAGAGGTGACTGTTTCATCAGTGCAACGTTAGCAACACGAGGTTACAAGAAACATAAAAAAAAGCAAGCAAACATACCACCACCAAAGGAACACGGTAATTTTCCTGTAACTGACCCCAAAGAATTGAAGATGTGTGAATTGTCAGAGGATTCAAACTTAACCGTTTTTTTTTTTTTTTTAATGTTTGTTTATTTTTGAGAGAGAGAGACAGAGCATGAGCGGTGGTGGGCAGAGAGAGAGGGAGACACGGAATCCGAAGCAGGCTCCAGGCCCTGAGCTGTCAGCACAGAGCCTGACACAGGGCTCGAACTCACAAACCGTGAGAGCGTGACCTGAGCCGAAGTCAGACACTTAACCGACTGAGCCACCCAGGCGCCCCTAAACTTAACCGTTTTAAGGAAGCTCAGTGAACTACAAGAGAACTGTGAAAATTAATAGAAGGAAACCTTGTCTATAATGGAGTCAGGGGGTCAGCAGAGTTGCAAACCCAGCAGGAAGAGAGGGACCTTGCAGGTGGATGCTACTTTACTACCCCAGCAAGAGGAAGGAAGGTTTCTTCCTGGCAACAGCTCAGCCAATGAGAAACCACTATACTTCCGGCTCCCAGTTTACTTCAATGCACTTTTAGTTTACAACAGCCCCTCCCTACACCCCCCTCCTCTATAAAAGAGCCTCCTTTTTGGACTTCTTCTCCAGACTTGCCTGTTGTTTTACCATAGCTAGCTTGTCCCAGATTGAAATTCTCTGTTAAGAATAACCCCCCCCCCTTTTTTTTTGGGCAAAATAACAGTTTTATTTTTAAGGTTAACAGAATACATGAGACAACTCAACAAAAAATACGTGAGGAAAATGAGAAGTTCAGTAGAGAAATAGAAATCATGAAAAGAACCAACAAATATTGGAGCTGAAGAATACAGTGAATGAAGTAAAAAATGCAATAGACAGCATGAATAGCTGACTTGATCAAACAGAGGAAAGAATTTGTTAACTTCAAGACAGGTTATTTGAAATTAACTAGTCATAGGAGAAAAAAGAAAGAAGAATGAAAAAAGCGAAGAAAGCATATGTGAATTTGGGGGCACTATCAAGCAACTACTATCTGCATTGTGGGAGTCCCAGAAGAAGAGAGAAAGAAAGGTCAGAAAGCTTATTTAAGAAATTCCCAAATCTAGTAAGAGTTATGTACGTCTCGGCACATGAATCTTACAGGTCCCCAATTAGATTGAACCCAAAGAAGACCTCACCAAGACACATTCAAGTATCAAAAATCAAGACAGAAATTTGAAAACAGCAAGACAGAGAAAAAAAAAAAAATACCCACTTCATTTCAAACAGGTGAATACCCAAAAGGCTTTCAGCAGATTTCTCTGCAGAAACCTTGCAGGCCAGGAGAGAATGGAATGATATATTTGCAGTTTTGAAAGTAAAACATACTTGACAGCCAAGAATATTGGCAAAGCTGTCCTTCAGAAATAAAGGAGAAAGCCTTTCTCAGATGAAAGCTGAGGGAGTTCAACACCACTAGACCTGCCATACCAGAATGCTAAAGAGAATTCTTCAAGCTGAAGTGAAAGGATCCTAATTAGTAACATGAAAAGACATGAAAGTGTAAAACTCACTGGTGAAAGTAAGCATATGGTCATCCAGAGTATGATGGTTGTGTACAAACCACTTGAGTATGAATGTTAAAAGTCAAAAGTATTAAAAATAACTATATTTACAGTAATTTCTAATGGATACACAATGTAAAAAAGATGTACATTGCGTTACCAAACATGAAATATGTGTGCGGGAAGTAGAAGTGTAGAGTTTGGTGTGCAGTTGAAGTTCCCAGCTCAAAATGGACTTATTTATAACTATGTTTTTAATGTAAGGCTCATATTATCACAAATAGCTTTAGTATGCAAAAGACAAAACAAAGCATTCTTCTATGAAAAATCATCAAATCACAAAGGAAGATAGCATGAGAGGAAGAAAGGAATAAAGAACTACAAAGCCAGAAAACAATGAACAAGATGGCAAGAGTAAGTCCTTACTTATCAGTAATTACTTTATATGTAAATGGATTAAGTTTTCCAATCAAAAGATGTAAACAGTATAGACTTCTGAATACCTCACTTTCAATAACGGATAGATCAGACAGAAAGTCAATAAGGAAATACTGACTGGAATGACACTGTAGTGGAACAAATGGATCTAAGAGACGCCCAGAATACCTTCTCCCCACCCGCCCCCTGAATAGTAGCAGAACACACATTCTTATCAACGTTCATGGAAGATTCTCCAGGATCACTTGGAAGATCATGAAACCAGTCTTAAATTTAAGAGGACTGAAGTCACAATGTCTTTTTTGACTACATGAAGCTATGCAGCTAGAAATCAGTAATGGGAGGGAAGCAGGAAAAGTGCAAATACATGAAAACTAAACATCTGAATAGCCAGTGGCTCAGAGAAGAAATCAAAAGGGAAATAAAAAAATACCTGATGGGGCGCCTGGGTGGCGCAGTCGGTTAAGCGTCCGACTTCAGCCAGGTCACGATCTCGCGGTCCGTGAGTTCGAGCCCCGCGTCGGGCTCTGGGCTGACGGCTCGGAGCCTGGAGTCTGCTTCCGATTCTGTGTCTCCCTCTCTCTCTGCCCCTCCCCCGTTCATGCTCTGTCTCTCTCTGTCCCAAAAATAAATAAACGTTGAAAAAAAAAATACCTGAGACAAATGAAGATGGAAACGTAATGCACCAAAACTTAAGGGATGCGGCAAAAGCAGTTTTAAGAGGAAAGTTTATAGTGATAAAGGTCTACATTAAGAAACAAGAAAGATCTCAAACAACCTAACTTCATACCCGCAAGAATTCGAAAAAGGAAAACAAAGCCCAGAGTTAGAAGGAAGGAAACCACAAAGATGAGAGCAGAAATAAATGGGCCAGAAAAACAACAAAACATAAATGAAATGAAGAGCAAGCTTTTTTGGAAAGGTAAACTAAATGGACGTACGTTTAGCTAGACTAAGAAAAAAAGAGGACTCAGAGTCAGGATTAAAAGATGAGGCATCACAACAATTGATTCCATAGTAATACAGAAAATCATGCGAAACTACCATGAACAATTACATGCCAACCTATTGGACAGCCTAGAAAAAATCAAGATAAATTCCTAGACTCACACAACCTACAAAGATTGAATCATGGGACTAGAAAACCTGAATAGATCTGTAACTGTAAGGAGATTAAGTAAGTAATCAAATCTCCCAACAAAAGTCCAGACCACTGGTGAAGTCTACCAAACATTTAAAGACGAATTAACACTAATCCTTTTCAAACTCCTCCAAAAGTAATGAAGAGGAACATTTCCAAACTCATTTTATCAAGTCACCATTACCCTGATACCAAAGCCACACAAGGACACCACAAGAAAATTCTAGGCCAGTATTCTTGATGAATATACATGCAAAAGTTCTCAGCAAAATAATAGCAAACTGAATTCAATAGCACATTAAAAGAATGATAACTGTTATGTGGGACTTATTCCTGAGATGCAAGGATGGTTCAGCATAAGCAAATCATAAATGTGATACGCCACATCAGCAGGATGAAGGGTAAAATCCTAGGCTCATCTCAGGTGCAGAAAAAAGCTTCTAAGAAAATTCAACATCCTTTCATGATAAAAATCACAACAAATGAGATATTAAAAGAATGTATTTTAACATAATAAAGGTCATATAGGACAAGCCAACAGCTAACATACTCTGTGGTGAAAAGCTGAAGCCTTTCTTCTTAGATTAGGAACAAGAGAAGGATGCCCACTCACCACTTCTATTTAACATTGTCCTGGAAGTTCTAACCAGAGCAATTAGGCAAGAAAAAGAAACAAATGACATCTAAATCAGAAAGAAAGAAGTAAAATTGTCTCTGCAGATGACATAATCTTATATATAGAAACCCTTAAAGATTCCATCAAAAACCCCACAGAGGGGTGCTTGGGTGGCTCAGTCGGTTTGGGCTTCCAACTGCGGCACAGGTCATGATCTCACAGCTCGTGGGTTCGAGCCCTGCATCAGGCTCTGTGCTGACAGCTTGGGGCCTGCTTCGGATTCTGTGTCTCCCTCTCTCTGCTCCTCGCCCGCTCACACTCACACTCTCTCTCTCTCGCTCGCTCTCTCAAAAATAAAGCTTAAAAAAATTTTTTTTAACACCCTGTTAGAATAGAATTCAGTAAAGTTGCAGGATACAAAATCAACATGCAAAATTCAGTTGCATCTCTATGTACTAACAACAAGCTACCTGAAAGATATATTAAGGAAGCAATTTTGGGGCACCTGGGTGGCTCAGTCGTTTAAGTGTCTGACTCTTGATTTCGGCTCAGGTCATGCTATCACGGTTTGTGAGTTCAAGCCCCGAATTGGGCTCTGTGCTGACAGTGCAGAGCTTTCTTGGGCTTCTCTCTCTTCCTTTCTCTCTGCCCCTCCCCTGCTCACACACACTCTCTCAGAATAAACTAAAAAAAAAAACAAAAAAAAAAACGATTCCATTTACAGTAACATCGAAAACAATAGCATATCTAGGAATATGTCTCACCAGGGAGAGGAAGGAACTATATACACTGAAAACTATGAGACACTGAAAACTATGAGACACTGAAATAAATGGAAAGGCATCCCATGTTCTTGGATTGGAAGGATTAATATTGCTAAATATCCATACTATGCAAAGCCATCTATAAATTCAGTCCAATCCCTGTCAAAATTCCAGTGGCATTTTCATAGAACTAGAATAAACAGTCCTAAAATTTAAATGGAATAACAAGACCCCAGGCAGCCAAAGCAATCTCGAGATGACAAACTTGGAGGCATCTCATTCCCTAGTTTTAAACTGTATTATAGAACCTTAGTAATCAAAATAGTTGGGTACTGACATAAAAACAGACGCAGGCTAATGTAACGGTCATTAGTCACAGATGATCAACTAATCTGTGACAAAGGTGCCAAGTACACACAATGGGGAAGGGATGGTCTCTTCAGTAAGTGATTCTGGAAAACTGGATATCCACATGTAGAAGAATGAAATTGGACCTTCATCTCATACCACTTATAGAAATCAACTCAAAATGGACTAAAGACTTCTCAGACATGATACCATAAAACTCCTAGAAGAAAACAGGAAAAAAGCTCCTTGGCATTGGATGTGACACTAAAAACACAAGCAGCAAAAGCAAAATCATAAGTGGGATTATATCAAACTAAGAAGCTTTTGCACAGCAAAAGAATCAAAATGAGAAGGCATCTTACAGAAGGAGAGGCAATATTTGCAAATCATATATCTGATAAGGGGCTAATACCTAAAATATGTAAATAACTCACACAGCTCAATAGCAAAAACAAAAGATCCCTCAAATAATCCAATTAAAAATGGCAGGGGCACCTGGATGGCTCAGTCGGTTAAGCCTTCAACTCTTTGTTTTGGCTCAGATCATAATCTTACGGTTTGTGAGTTCAGACCCTGCATTGGGCTCTGTGCTAACAGTACAGAGCCTTCTTGAGATTCTCTCTCTGCCTCTTCCCCATTCACTCTGTCTCTCAAAAATAAATAAACTTAAAAAAAAACTTTTTTTTAATGGGCAGAGAGGGCGCCTGAGTGGTTTCATCAGTTAAGCTTTGACTTTGGCTCTGGTCGTGATCTCACAGCTCATGAATTCGAGCCCCACATCAGGTTCTCTGCTGTCAGTGCAGAGCCTGCTTCAAACTTCTCTCTCTCTCTGTCTTTCTCTCCCTCTCCCTCTCTGCCCCTTCCTGACATGCCCACACTCTCTTCTCTCTCTCAAAAATACACATTTAAAAATAAAAATGGGCAAAGAATCTGAATAGATGTTATTTCCAAGGAAATCCTACAAATCGCCAGCAGATATGTGAAAAGGTGCTCAGCATTACTAATCATCCGGGAAATGCACATCAAAACCACAATGAGATCTCATTTCATACCTTTCAGAATTGCTTTTTTCAAAAAGACCATAGATAACACATGTTGGTAAGGATGTGGGGAGAAGGGAACCCTGTACACTGTTAGTGGGAATACAAACTGGTTAAGCCATTATAGAAAATTGTATGGAGGTTACTAAAAATTTTTAAAATAGAACTCCCATATGATCTCACAGTCCCACTTTTGGGTATAGATCTGAAGAAATCCCTATCTTGAAAAGATAGCAGTATGCCCGTGTTCATTGCAACATTATTCACAGTAGCCAAGATGGAAATAAGCTAAGCGTTGACAGTTGAATGAATAAAGAAAATGTAAATATATAAAAATGGAATACTATTCACCCATAAAACCAAGGAAATCCTGCCATTTGTGACAACATGAATGAACGTGGAGGACATCATGCTAAGTGAAATAAGCCAGAGGGCTAAAGACAAATACTGTATGATGTCTGGGGAGGAAAATTCATACAACCAGAGAGTGGAACGGTGGCTGACAGAGGCACAGATTAAAGGAGAAGCATGTGATCATCTCAATAGACGGAAAAAAGCATTTCATGAGATTCAAAGCCTGTTAATGACTTTAATAAAAAGAGAAGTATAAAGATGAATTAGTTTAATTTGATGAAGAATGTTTAAAAACAACAGCAACTATTTCTCTAAAATAAGTTTTTAATATTTATTTTTTGAGAGAGAGAGAGAGAGAGAGAGAGAGAGAGACAGAATCAGAAGCAGGTTCCAGGCTCTAAGCTGTCAGTTCAGTGGGGCCTGAACTCACAAACTGTGAGATCATGACCTGAGCTGAAGTCAGATCCGACTGAGCTACCCAGGTGCCCCAACAGCAAGTATTTCTTTTTTATTTTATTTTTGAGAGACGGAGATAGAGCACGAGTCGGGGAGGGGCAGAGAGAGAGGGAGACACAGAATCTGAAGCTGGCTCCAGCCTCTGAGCTGTCAGCACAGAGCCCGACGCGGAGCTCGAACTCACGGACACGAGATCATGACCTGAGCCGAAGTCAGACACTTAACCGACTGAGCCACCCAGGTGCCCCAACAGCAAGTATTTCTAATAGTGATATGTCGAATGCTTTCTTTTTTTTTTTAATTTTTTTTAACATTTATTTAGTATTGAGAGACAGCATGAACAGGGGAGGGGCCAAGAGACAGGGAGGCACAGAATCCGAAGCAGGCTCCAGGCTCTGAGCCGTCAGCACAGAGCCCGACACAGGGCTTGAACTCACAAACCATGAGATCATGACCTGAGCTGAAATCGGACACTTAACCGATGGAGCCACCCAGGCGCCCCTCGAATGCTTTCTTTTTGAGATAGAAAACAATCAGATACCAATTATCACCATTTATTTTCATCTCATACTGGAGGTCTTGGTGCAGTGTGGGGTATGATATCAGGAAGGAAGAGAAGGAGAGAGGCAGGGAGCAAGGGTGAGAAAGAGGAGAAAGGGGAAAAAATAATAGAAAAGCAGCAGGACTGAAGAAGTCTGCTTCTTGTAGTGAAATCTGAATTTCTGCAGAGGGTACCCAGTGTTACCTTTTGCTCCTCCAGGTAATTCCAGTCTGCAGCTAAGTTTAAGAGCCGGTTCCCTTTTTTTTGTAAATATTTATGGAGGTTATGGTAATGGTATAATGGCTTTATTTTTCATTTGAAAAAAAATGTCATTAATCTCAAAACAAGGTTTTCCAAAGTAAATTTTGGCTTGGTACCAACTTAAGGTAGGCTTCATTCTATTTTCAATTCCGATAGTAATCACTCTTCAAGTAGAATTAAATACATAATGAATGCCATATAATAGATGCCCAGAGCTGAGTGATTATTCTGATTTTTCAGTGTAATTATAAATTGGTGTTCCGT